TTATAAATTAAAATTTTTTTACATATAAATTTTAATTCAATATCCTTAATAGTCGTTTTTTTTTTCAGTATAATTTATTTGACTATCACCGCTATATTTATATTCAAACACATATCTTATCATTAATTTTAATCTTATAATTACAATATTTAATATCACCGTTATAATAATTAATCTCATATTCATCGTTATTTTCAATCTCATCAGAATCAATCTCACTATCCATCCAAATGGGCCCTAAGTTTTATTTGTCACAATTGGCTTCCATGCTATCTTTTTTTTTTTAAGTTGTTATAAAACCTAGTGTTGGTATAAATCTCCAACTTAATTTAACAAAAAAAAGGCAAACTCTATAAACTTAAGACCACTATTTTTTTTTTACATAACTGCATATTAAAAAAAATGTATGCGTTATTTTAACAAAATTAAACAAACATGTTTGTTAGCTTCCTTCTCCACATTATATCTTAGGAGACTCACATGAATTTGAGCATTCAATCTCTAGGTAGAGCTATTCATTCAACCAATTTAGTTAATTTCAAACCAAATCAATCAAATTAGTTTTTATTTTTCAATTTTGTTAATCAGACTAATTTAGTTTTAAAATTTTTTTTAGAAAATTTTTTTTTAATGTTGACATGGTAATTGATGATTTAGCATTGAATAGATTTTTTAACATGTATCAGGATTTTATTTTGATATTCATGTTATGTCAATAAATTGATTAACAATGTTAGTTTCAAATACCAAGTGGATGATAGATTGAAAATTTAAGTATCAATATGATAATTTTATTTTTTTGATACCAAATTATAAAAATTGTAAAATTATGGGTTATTTTTATATTTAACCTAAAAAACCAAAAAAAAAAAAAAAGGAAAGCTAGGATTTTGAGACTTTGGAGCTCAAGGTGTTTTAGAAAGTATTTTTCAAATCCCAATGGTGGAAACACAAAGAAAAGGTTGGGGGAACGCTCGAAGAAAGGTTGGTAGCCATTGAGGTGGAGTCAACTATAGATCTAGGTCATAGGATTCGGGTTTCTTTGGTTTTTCATGGGAAAAGAAAGTTTTTTTTTTTTTAAATCTGAGCTGATAAATCTATAAAAAAAGATTGAATAGAGCTTATGATTAGTTTTGGTGACATTTCGATGTTGATGTATGGCAACCAGCATAATAGTCAGTTGCCAGAATTTGAGTTTGATGATATCAGTTGTTTGAATGAGTTTTTGGATAAATTAGAAAAAAAATTTCTTAGGGATTTTTTTATCAATTTTTTAAAAATTTATTTATTTGTTACTTATAATTTTTGAAAAAAATGTTGGCATTAAAATGCTACATGGATTTATTGGTATGCTAGTAAATCCACATCATCATTTGCTTATTTCATATCCAATCAAAATGTTATATCAATTAAGTCAAAGGCCATGTTAGCAAGTCAACGGACACATCAACAATCTTAATGGTAAAAATTTAACGAAGTTAATGATTGGACTAAAATTATCAAATTAAAAAAGTATGAAAATTGTATTTGTATGAATTACACTAGAGAGATTAAAATTCTAATTTCAATAAAGTATAGGAACTATTGATATAATTTGACCTTTAGTAAAAAATAGAGATAGAAAAAAGGAATTTTTCTTGTGTTTTATTTAAATTATTCTCAAGGGCATTAGGGATGTAAATGAACAAAACATTAGTTGAACTGTTCGTATAAGAGTTTGGTTATGACTCATTTATATTCATTCGTTAAGTTAAACAAGCGAATTTGAACAAAATTTTAAAGTTTATTTAATAAACGAACAGAACTCAAACATTAGTATATTCAACTCGTTTACATTCGTAAACAAATTTGTTAAGTCATTTGTGAACAAATTTGATAAAAACTCAATAAAAAACTTAAAATAATATATTTTGCTCTTGTTAAGTAAGTTCATTTTAACTTTAATATCTTTCAATATAATCCAAATCATGATTTAAGATATATCATTGTAAAGTATGCATAATGTAGATTAAAAATATTCTATTTTTTTCTAGGATTATTATTTTGTGATAATATTTTATGTACTTAAAATTGGAGATATGATAAGTTTTGAAGAAACAAAAATAGAAAAGAAACTTTTCTTCATAAAGTCTCTTTAAGCAATCCCACATAAGTAGGAAATCAAAGCAAAAGGAAAGGTTGATTATATAAAATTGCCACTCACTGTTGTCACTTAAAGTCAAATACCAATGCCAAGTGGGCCTTTGACTATTAGCTTATTAATTTTAGGCTAACAACATTTAATGTTTTCTAGATAACTAGAATTTCAAGTCATGTTTAATGACTTATTTAATAACTTGTTTGAGTTCGACTAAAAGCTCGATCATACAATCGAGCTGACTTTGAACAATATTTGTTAAGTTTGGTTTGAGCTTGGTACTTGTTTGTGTTTGTCTAAATTTAGCCGACTTGAGTCCAAATAAGCTTATACTTGGCTTGGCTTTGTTCATTTATAGCCTTAGAGGCATAGTGGTTCACAAATAAAGGAAAAATTATTAAAAAAGTTTGCCTCAAATTATCGTATCTTGATAATCTGAAATAGACATATATTTTGGTGGTAATATGATTACGTGATTGGTGATAATCTAACCCTCTCTCTTGACAAAGTAAAATAACGATCAATATTACTGAGTGAAAAGCATCTAATATGATAATATTCATAGATTACCATTAATTTTTTTTAAATATTTCTGGATTAGCACAAACCAAATATCTTATAATTTAAATTTGGGTTCCTTTTTATCCATTGCGTTAGATGATAAGTGAAATATACGTGTCAATATGACAAATTACGAGATAAAGCGACCATAATCCACATGGATGCTTGTTGAAGCCATAAAAAAAAGTCTCTAGACTTATGGTCAAAAAACAAAGTGGCTACTTGCATTTGTGGTGCATTAGGGGTATAAACAATGATATTGGTTTTAATGAAATTGAAAACAGTAGTGATAGTGAGATTAATTATTATAAGAGCAAGATTAGATATTATAGCAATGAGATTAAAATCAATAATGGATATGTATTTTGATATAAACACAATGGTGGCAATAAGATAATGTTTTGTGAGAAGAAAAAATGATCATTAAAGATATTTGATTAAAATTTTTGTAAAATAAAGTTTTAAATTATTTGATATTTATGAATGTAATGGATAATAAATTACTAAAATTATCTTTATGTCAAATTTTGTTAATAAATAATTAAAAATTAATAAAAATAGTAGTAATATATCAAATATTTGTTTTAAAAAAAGTGATAATAATACATTTACACAAATTGATAATAATCTAGAAGATAATAATTATTTTTATATCAAAATAATAATTATTTCTTATTCAAAATAAAGTTTTAAAAGAATAAGAAAAAAGAAGAAAAGTATGGAAAAAGAAAGGCTTAAGTGGTATGGTCAATTTCATACGTGCACTATAGTTCCAAAGGCAAAAAAAATGATAGAAGTAACTGAAGGGCTTTTTGAAAAAAAAAAAAAAAAGGAACTTTGGTGAGAATGAAAAGTCCCCCTCAAACCCTCCTCCATCCAATGGAATTTTTGATGCATGGTGTGAATTTTTTTGTGTAATGCACCTTGACTTCTTAGCCAAATACCTTGCCACGGCGTGATTGCACCAAAAAAGTGATTAATCTCACTGAAACTAGGTATTAGTATTGTCCAAAATACAGCCTAGATGGATTTTGATTAATTTGCTGAGGTGATATAGAAAAGATTTGAAGTACTAGATGAAAAATATACAAAAATATGTTCCTAAGCTTTTGACCTATTGACTAAAGGTGTTTGAGGGGATATCAAAGGTCTAATTTCGAATCAGACCTCTTTTCTCTCTTTTACTTGTATTAAAACTTTACTTACCTGATGGAACAAAAAAAATATACAAAAAATATTATTACAATTATACATTATTATGAAAAAGATATTGCAGGATTAAATATTTTTTAATCCGTAATTTTCAAAATTTTAATTAATATGCATATCATAGAGTTAATATTTAAAGGTTTCTTTCAATTTATACTTAATTTAAATATTTTTTAATTTGATTTTATATTAAATTTATATTATTTTTATTCTAAATTAATGAATTATATTTATAATTTTTATTATGAAAAGAAATATAATATTATATTAATATAAAAATACTATTCGCTTACTTATGGATAATGTCTGAAACAGAAATATTTTTTGAAAAACAATAGAAACAAGAAATTCTTGTTTCCAACAATTTTGAAATTTTTGTTTTCATTTTTTAAAAACAAAAAAAATTATCAAACACGTTTTCTGCTGTTATTTAGAAAAAATAGAAAAAAAAAAAAAACAAAATTGATATCAAATAACCCCTTAATTTATTATTCTATTTATGTACATATGGAACTCATTTTACGATTAATAATATTATTTTTATTGAAAAAAAAAGCAATCAAAAGTTTTAATTATAGTGTATACAAACTTACAATTCAATCGAAGTTCTCAAACAAATTCGATTACACGTGAAATTATAACACTCCTGCAACTTAAATATTTTAATTTTTAAAATCTCACCGATTAATAATAATGAAATAAATATGTAATACATTATTAATATATAGAGGTTATATATTATTAGTAAATTATAATAGCTTATAAAAAATTAATTTTAAAATCTTAAAATCTTTTAAAAAATACAATTAATCTTTAAAATAATTTTTATAAAATATTATTATATAATTTATTAATAATATATATCATTTATATGCTATAGTACATCAGATATAAATAATATTAACTTAAATCATAAATTTGATAAAATAATTAAACGTTAAATAATCTTGAAAATTTTGTGTGAGATTATATACTAATTTACTCCATTAGTTAAAAGTCGTACAAGTACAAGTACCACTTAGAAAATGAAGTACAAAGAAATGGCAACGTAAGTTGACAACGAACTTACAGTATCCTTTTGCTATATTAAGAAGTCAACTGTGAATTTGTTTCAAAAGTAGGCTAATGAATGTGCACCGAAAAGAGCTTGTAAAACAATTAACAAAAACTGAAGCACCCGCTTCAATAACGAAATTTCGTGCCTCCACGATGGTTCGGGTCCTCCTGCTAGCGTTATTGGTCTTGAGCTCCTGGGAAACCAGACGGGTCAGCTCGCACGAGGAATCGGGGGTATGGAGTTGCGAGTCAAAGTCGGAAATTCGAGTCCAAGCGGATTTCAGACCCGGAGTCATCACCCTTGATGGACATGCCGATGATTGGAAGGACATTGATGGGTTCGAGTTCTCTCTCCTACCTGCTCTTGACCCAGATCAGGACCATGAGTACAAAGATGGAAAAATGACAGTGAAGGTAATGCCCATTGCTTGGACATTAAAGAAAAAAAATTTTGACCAATGAGTTCTGAGTCACTGTTTTTGTGGGATTGTCTTAGGCTTTACATGATGGAAATGATGTCTTCTTCTTGTTGCGAGTTGATGGGGACTATGCCTTCTCCAAAGGGTAACTTTCTTTAGAACTAGATTTAGTGTCTTTTTGATGTGTTGGACGTTCAATTTGAATTAAACTACTATCCAACCCTCTTGAGGGCATTTTTGTGATGGTGAACTCGATAAGGATTTGGAGATTGAGCTGGGATTGGTTCGCACCTGCAGCAAAAAAGCACGGTCAAGGACATCGGCGTTTGTTCTTCGGGGCATGCTCAAGTTAGTCAAGTGATTTAAAGTTCTTGAAATAAGAATGTAAGTAGCAGAAAGTATGGAGAAAGCTTAAGGGTAAAGGGTTTAAAATCTCTTACCTGGACCTCCTTTTTACTTTATATATGCGACAATAGATGGTGATAGTGGATGGGAAGTCCATGTGGAGCTCGAGGGGGGGTTATGTGGGTAAGCGTGAGTTGTATTTAATGATCTCAGACCAGCATGGGAACCGATTGATTTGTTGTGAGGTGATGTGCCAATGGAACGTAAGTAGAAGTAATTGGGCGAGTTGTCTCCATGGGTGAGGAGGTCAAGGCTGGCGAGCCAGTATTATGGCAAAAAATCTAAGCATTGATCTTTTTTGGTGGCGACATGGCAGTCAGGAGTGTGTTGACTTAACGAATGTGGAAGTTGATCTTGTTGACCAGATGATCAGATGTAACAAATCTCGAAAGATTTTGATCTTTTTGGTCTGTTTGAGATGTCCAATAAAGTTGGATAGCTGGTGCCTCACGCAAATAGTTAGAAAAGGAAGATTATTAAATTATGATGCCATCATCTTTGCTCAATGCATCAAGATATCATTATCCATGGCATGTCAAATCGGTTTACTTTGTTTTTTGTGGTGCTAGTGTTAATTTTCTTTCCTTAATATTGTGTAAATGGAATAGGGAGCATTTTGTAGCTGAATCTGTTGCTACACGCTGACTTGTCTATGTTAAAGCCTTACAGTGAACTGGGTTTTACTTTTTAATGCAGGGACAGCAGCAAATGCCCATCTGTAGCTCTTATGTTTCAAATTGGGGATGATGCGACCTATCATGATGTAAGTTATTCCATCTAACTCTTGCCCTATGTTTATTTTACTTTGATACTCGTTGTTTGCTGCTCCTTGATGAAAGGATGAAAGTTGAGAAAGTTTATTGTGGTGCAAGATGGGTGGCTGTAAAGAACAAAGGGGCTCTTGCACCAACAGGACTTGCAAAGGCCATGAAGTTGACATTATGCACTTCTCTATTGGAAACGCTATACCTGGAAGGCTTTATGGTGGCAACCCAATAGATAACACAGATGGAAATGGAGGTGATAGGTAATGTAGTACAACGTAATTTGAAGTAGTACAAATGAATCCTTGGCCATCACAATAGCGACTGATGTACTCTTCTGGTGAAATGTTCCAGAATTTAGTATTTTATGATACTACTTTTATTTGCTGACAGGTTTGGTCATTTGGTTGATGCATATGCTTGGAACCCGCACTGTAGATACCTTGATGGATTGGGTCCGTCTGGTAATTTCTAAGATCCTTTAATCTTATTGGCCCGTTTTTATGAGTTTGATATTTGCTTTTTGGAGATAAAAACGATGGGATTTCCTTTGAGCATGGCAAAACAAAGTGGAATGATGCAATAAAGATAGTGACACTAAATCAAGGTGCCATAGAATGAGAGGGCTACTCCGAAAAGTCAGACTTTATCTTTTATGAGACACTAGATTGCTTGCTTAATGGATATGGCATTCACTAGAAGGAACTTTTTGAAGATCTTGAAGTGTTAACGACTTCTTTAATGATACTAAAACATCAAGCTGGCACATCAACAATTATTATTAATCTGATTGACTATGCTTGGGGTTTGATCCTTAATGCGTTATTAGATGTCTAAATAGCTTATCATCCTGCCCTGATAGTGTTTAAATTGTTGAAATTACCTTCTTATCACTGTCCGTACCCTTTTTCTTTTGCCTTCCACTTCTCCTTTAAGTGCCTTCAACCAGGATCAAAACACTCGGTTTATTTGTTGCTTATTGTGCTATCTTACATTATTTTGAGAAGAAGAACAATTATTGTGATAGGATAATTAGTTGTTTGATTATAGTTTTATGTTCCTCCCAATTTCCAACTTTTATTTTCGTAGGACAAATTATGCCCTTTTTGCTCTTATTTTGTCTGATATTGTATCATCCTCTCCAGTACATTTTTGACTTATAAGATTTCTCAATTGTCACTCTCATTTTAAGATGTTAAAATTATTTATTTTTGGTAGAAGACCAAAAATTCCTTACTGTGTTTGATTATGTCTCCTTTGAGAACTTAACTTTGCACATGACTATATGAGTGAGTTTCTTCTCTGCTTTATACGTAAATCTCTTATACGAAACTTTCTAGTTTTTGTTCTTCATGATCCCACTCCAGCTGGAAGGAGATGATTCTTCTTGACTTTGAAAACTTGTAAGTTCATTACACAGACAAAATGCTGCAATTCTATTATTTTACTATGAACTTGTAAGTTCATGAGTCTAAATGCTGCATTTCTAAGTCTGCAATATATTCCTCGCTTCCTGCCGTACTCTATCATTTTTCTACTCCTCTAGGGGTATGCTTTACCACAAAGCTAGTGGATTCTTATTGATGTCTTTTAGTTGATTGATTGGCTTTGAGATATGTACGAGACAAAAAGGAAAATTTATAACTTATATTTCTCTTGTGGCTTTGTTTACTACATTTAGTTAATGATGACTACCTGCTCTGTCTCTATCCTTTCTCTTTCATTCCCCCATCCCCTACCCCCTTTAAAAGGTATTGGTTGTAGTAGTTTTTGTTTCTTCATTGTTTAAATTAATATGATTTATCCTTCTTCACTGTTACGAAATGATTCTAGTGCACAGAATAGCTGGAAAGGGGCATGGTGGCACAGTAGCTTAACAGTTCTTTCAGGTAATTAAACTATCATGATTATATATTAATGGAGTTGAATATCTAGATTTTACTTCCTCAATGTCATAAGTTTATGGATCGGTTCAGATTTATGGACTCACTGTTGCTTGGTGAGTTTTATTAGAAAATTAGTATTTCCAGGACAAATGGAATGGTCTATAGGCTGATATGCATTTCTACAAGTGAGTGGTCCATATGCATGTTTCAATATCCTCAAACCTGTTTAAGTAGTGACTACTCCTTTTGCATGTTTTTGGAGCTTGGACAGGCAATTATCCATGCATCAAGTTGGTCAAGAGCCTTATATTCTGCAACAAAATAACAAATAAACTTTATTTCTAATGTCAAGAATAACTCTTTGGTTTTGTTAGCATCATTGTCTGTTGGTCGATTGTTTTGATTTTTTTTTTATTCTATTTATGCTTAATCAATGTTATGCTTTAGTGTCTTAGAGAGTTAGAGTCAATATTTCATCTTTCAAGTTCTCAAAGGTTAGACTTATGTACTTTTAAAAGGTTTTGTGGAGGAAGACAGTCCTTATTCCACAGGAGGTCAGAAGGGAACGTATTATTTTGAATTTTCTAGGCCTTTGAGAACCATGGATCGTCTTCAACAGGTTAGACACTAATTTCTGGCTTTAGCCTTTTTGCTCCTGGTATTAAATATTAACAAATGTAACCCATATTTTTTTGTGTTTTTGGCAAAATTCTTTAATCTCTGTACTATATGATATATGTATTTCTGTTTCTGTTGCCTGTCAAACAAAGTAGATCAGGGATTATGGCTTTAAAATTGTTCTTATCAACAATGCATAGTCATTACTGTTGGCGGATTTAACATGGGAGTATAGGAGCCCTTGCTCCCAATGAACCTTGCCGGAAAATTTAAGATCTACTTATATTACTTAAATGTTTTCATATTTTCTGTTTTTCTTTTTGGCATATATTGGACCTTGGGCTGAATAAAGGGTAGCTTTCTCCCATCTCAGAAACCTCCTCTCCCCCTTGATATTTTTGGTATTGCAACTACCAGATGGCTTATTGATAGGTTGTATCTTTGAGGACTTTAAGTCATAATTTTAAATCATGAGCTCAAGGTCTCATTACGAGTAGAATTCACTCAAAATCATATTAGCGCAACTGCTTCTAGGTAGTTTTTAATATGTAATTTTAAGACAATAATTTAGGAGGTAAAAAGCAAATAAACATGTAAACCCACTGCATTAAAATCTCGGCTCTCCCCTTTTAATCACATAATATCATAAAGTTCCTTTTATTAGAAGACCTTATGACCCCTATATTCCTAAAATTTACTCTTGCTTTCAGCTGAATTTCTTACTACCTCTTTTTAAGAAAAATGGGTGAGCCGACTCTTCTCCTATTCTAAAATTTAAGTAGTGATTATGGTAAATTATGCTGCTAACGCTGATGCTTAAAATGAAAATTGAACATTTCTGTTATTACAACGTAAACACGGATAATGCTGTTGTTCCTTTCTGTTAGGTATTTACCTTGCAACAACCTGACACAAGTGATTTCTCTCTTGCCTTGCAGGATGTTCAGTTCACAATTGGCGGATCAAGCAAGATGTCTGCCGCATTCTGGTTTCCGGTTAATGGGAATCCGTGGGTTGGATCTGGACACTATACTATTAACTGCGATTGGGTGCCATTGGATGTTGATTCAGGTGGTTCTATCCTAACCAAGTCTTCACCAAACAGCTCCTGGGATGCGACCAGCGCCTTCAACCTTCTATTCTCGATAGCAGCTCTCTGTATAGCCATATTTGTGGCATGTAAGGTTTCTAGACCCAAGGGTGTCCCATTTACACCAATGGAAAATCTTTAGATAGCTATACAGGTCTGCCATTATCAATAATTGACTTGGAGCTCGTCATACATGTCAGGCATTGTACTATTGCTTGAATTTGTACTGCGTAGCTTTGTACTTTGAACAGTTCCCACTTTATTATTATTATTTTTTAATTAAGAAGTTTGATTTTAGTTTAGTTTCTGCTTTTTAGGGTGAAGCATGTCTGATTTGATGTCAAAGTCGGCTCCATTTTCCATGGGCACATGTTTGGTAACCTAGCTTTCTATAAAGGATATGGAGGATCATTTACTAATATTCTTATGGCCGATCTGTCCTGGGAAAGCCCAAATATTATAGTTTCTTAAACCCCATGGTGCTTCAATGTTGCTAATAACTATTTGAAGGAAGTTGAAGAGAAGCTCTTGAACTTTTCCCCAATATGCAATTCAGTCCTAAATCTTATGGTATTTTGTACAAATATCCTCATATTTTGAGAAAAGTATTACAAGCACTTAAGCTTAACCAAACATATTGGAGTATTTTTATTTGGTAGGATAGACAAGCCTACCTTGCTAAGTGCCACAAAAATAATGTAAAAAATTTTCTTTTGTCTAAGTGTCTTTGTAGTGTGTTTCTACAACAAATAGAGATTATGCTCAATTATCTATAGTTTTTCTATAGTCTGAAAGTGGTGTTTTTGATAAATCTAGATATGTACCACTAGAAGTAACATTTTTTTTGTTTAAAGATTCAATATTAGTGTTATTAGAACTTTGGGTTGTTTGCCTTGGTTTTGTACTTTTTATCTCATCTTTTTTTATAAGATAAGGTTGATGTTATTCTAGAAAGTCTAGGTTAGACATTTATGAAAATCTTAATAGGTAATTTGTTTTTGGGTTAGAAGCTTCTCCTTTTTTTTTTTCCACGATCTACTGTTTGTGGATTGTTTCTTTGTTCATCTTTTTCTTCCGTTTCTTCTTCAAAAGTTTTAGATTTAACTTCATCTTTTACTATTGGGTTAGTAGCTAAGATGTCATCAAAATTATCATTTATGCTTTCTTCATCACTGGAACTTTCATCAGTGGTATCGTAATTTAGCATATAATGATAATTGAATTTTGTAAAAAAAATTATATGGGTATGATATAAACTTTGATCATTTTCAAATATTCTATCCATTTTTTGGATGTTTTTTATTTTTTCCATTTTGTGTTTAAAATGTTCAATCAAACTTTTGTAAGATTGGAAATCCATATTTTCTTGTTTAGAAAATTTAGGATTTGTAGAAGATAATGGTTTATCATCATTTACCTTAATAGTATTTTCATAAAATAGAGGGCCTAAATCATTTGTTTGTGATTTTTGTTCTAGTTTATCATAAATATTATCAATTTTTTCTTTAATTTTATCAATTTTTACAAAAATTTTTTTGAAAAATGAAGCAAATAAATCAACTATACAATTAATAGATCTACTTATAGCTTGTGGATTTGATTCTAAGCAAGTTCTACATGTAAATTATGATTATAAGTTTTATCAGAATAGATACAATTATCTTCTTTAAATGATTCCATGTTTTAGCTGCCTAAAACCAAATGTTTTTCTTTAATGGTTTTAAAGAAGCTAATTAACAAAGGTTTACACAGCCACAAAAACCAACAAAAGAAACCAGAGAAATTGATATGGGCTTCAAAACATAAATTTACTTTTAGAAGATAAAGTGTAAAAGGTCAAAAAACTTACAAAAATAAAGAACACTTCAAATATTCTTATATATATATATATATATCTCTGAAAATAAAACACACTTAATTTAGATATAAGGCTTTGATACCATTTACATAAACAAAAACAAAAGAAGAAAAAGGCTGAAGAAACTCTATGTTTTTAGAGCTGAAAGGGACTAAGAGAGGAATATCAGATTAAGAGAAAGGAATGGAGTGAGAGATGCTTCCAGAAGACTTTACCTATACAATGAAGAGTTTGTTTATTTATAAACAAAATTAAACTCTGGTTTGTACAACAACTAACTGAGGTATGTACAGTAAAAATTGATAGCTATTTTCTGTTACAATGATAAATTGATTTTATCTTTTCCTGTAGCTGATTGAAGTTTGTCTCCAAGCTGTTTAGCTATTTCGGATATCAATACAAGTTATCTTTTTATGTCAGTAGTGGTTTATTTTTTATTAGAATAGCTTATCCTTCTTGAATATTATTCAAATTAACTAACTTTTTATCTTCTAAATTAAAAGATTATGGAGAAGTATTTTTGGATTTGTTCCATATCTGCCAATCTTCTTGGTATTGGAAGAGTGAATGTTATGGATGATCAAGATCTTCCATGATAGGTAATTTGTAAAGTAATTCCAGTGCTTCTGGATCAATTAGTCCTGTATTGGTTTTTGTTTGCCTATACAAGATTCTTTTTCCATTTGTTTGGAGATCAATGCAGGGAAATTGTGAAGATGTAATTGTAGTATGTAATGTTTTTGCTAGATGCATTAAAGATATTCATGCTTGGAATTGGTATTTTGAGGGATTTGAGAATTTTTTAATGACCAAATGTAATTATTTTTTATTTTCTATTAAATCATTTTGATATTCAAGAGGAGGTCTAGACATTAGTTTTGTTATTTCCTAGATTTGATATGGCTAAAAAAATCTTTGTTTTTGAAAATTTTCAAGCAAATTGGTAATTTTGAAATGTACATACAAGAAATATTGATCATTTTTTACATATTCAATAAATCTTGATTTGATGAAGGCAGGAAAATTGACTAATTTGTTAAAAGGAAAATTTTGGTACATAATTTGGCTAACTATTCCAATTTCGATGCTTTTTACATCGAATGGGTCATGATCGAGTTTAAATTTTATTAAAGGAAAAACTTCAACTATTTTTGGTTTTCCAAATAGGTTGCAAAATAGTATTCTTCAAATTTTTCTTGCAATATTTTTTGCATTTCAAGAAGAATTGAATGATTGATTTGCAGGAATAATTCTTTTGTTAAGAATATTGCTACTTTTTCAAATAGTAAAATTCTTTTTAATTTTACTATTTTTTAAGAATGAGTTTTTTGCTCAAAATATTCATAGAGTTCGAGAAAATTCTTTATTTCTTCAACATTGTACTACTTTTCTTCAAGAGCAAAGAAATCAATATCTTATATTTTTAATAGGTTAGAAGAACAAAGATTATTGAAAACCAAAATTTCAAGATGAACTTGATTTTTGGTTTGGTTAACCAAAAATTCAGATAATTTGGTCATCCCTTTTCGAAATTGTGATTTATTTTGAGTAAGATGAGATTTTCAAATATTATTAAGAAGGTTATATATCTTTGGATTGGGACCAGGGTTGTAAAAATCTTTTATTTCTCCACCAGACATTTTTGGTGGTTGCAACAGATTTTTTATTTACTTAACAATTTGAGAGTAAGATACAGGAGTCCATTGGTTAGGATCTTGAGCAAATTGAAAAAAGTTTTGCTGCTGCATTACTGGTTGTATTGCAGTTCGAGGGAATTGAAAATAAAGTCTTTGAGGAATACTTTGGATTAAATATCCTTATGGTGGATAAACAAAAGGAGTAAATTCTAGGTTAGGATTCTTTTCTTGAAATAAAAAGAGGTTTTATAGTTATCATAATTACTCCAATATGAATATATTTAACTTTTTGATGCTTTTTCAAAAATTTTTGAATTTTTTCTTTTGTAAGTAAAGGAACATCAACTGATTCTTGTTTAGAATCATTTACTATTGTATCACCACTAACTTTTTCAATGTGGCATTTTACAAAAGGTTGAAATATTTTGAAAAATTTTGTTTGATAACTATCATCGTTTTTGATGATTTGTAATTTTTTAAAGTTTTTTGTCAGAAAATATATGGGTTTTTCCCATAACATTTCTTAAAGAAATCATTTGTTTTTCAATTGGATTAACTGAAGTGGAGATAGAAGATGTTTTTGAATTTGCTTCTTGGTTTGAAGAAGTATTCATCATAAAAATAAATTCTGTTTCGTTATCAGAAGTATCTGAATCTATTTCTCAAAATAATTCATAAAAATTTTCATCTTCGGATAAGTTTTATGCAAAACAGATAGTTAAATCACGTTGTTCAAGAATATTTATAACCTTTCTAGCACTTTTTTTTAGAGGATAATTTGGTGTTATATGTCATTCTTCTTCGCAAATAAAATATTTGCATTTTGGTTTATTAGAAGTTTTTCTTCTAATAACAAGTTTTTTGCCTTTTGAAAGCTTATTTTTAGATTTCCATTTTTTCATAAAATATTTTCGTTTTTTCAAAATATGTTTTTTATAAAATTTATTTGACGACTTGTTACAGCCAAATTCAAATTCATTTTCTAAAATCTTAGTGCATTGTTTATTACTAAGTTTGTTTTTAACCTATTTTGGTGCCTTTTGTTTAAGACAATATTCAATAACTTGTTTTTGGATATAGTTTATTCTATTTTCAAGAATATCATATAAAGCTATATTATTAGAAGAAGTACTAGAACAATTGGATTTTTTCATCCATAATTCTAAATAAGTAGAATAATTTTGTGAACATAATTCATCCATGGTGAGGGAAGTTTATGAAAATATTGTTCTTTTTAAAAATTTGAATGTTCTTTATCCAATTTTTGGTATTCACTCATATATTTTTAAGAGTAATCATCAAGGTTTTTGATGTTACATAATTTTACTTTTGAAAGTATGTATTGAGCTTCATTGTTTGGATTGCTTCATCCATACTTCCACAAAACTTATTTTTTAAGATTTGTGTTATACCTTTGAGTAAATCTGGAATTGTAGTGATTTGATTTAGGAGGTTCCCTTTTTAGGTCTTTCCTAATTTAGAATTTTTCCATTTTCTAATAATTGAAAAAAATCACTATAGATTCTAAGAAGAAGAGGAAGAATAATTAACCTTTTGGTTTGTTTTTTTTATATAGTTCTTCATTATCCTTTTTGTTCTAGAGGTTTTTTGCCTCTATCCATTAGGTTTGCTAAGGTAATTGCAAGAATATTTTTATCACTGTTTAATAAACTCAATATTAAAATTATATTGACATAAAAAATTATACCATCTAATCCTTCTTGGATTAGTGTCTATTTTCTTATTTTTAAGAAAATCTCTTACAGCTTGATTATCAGATATATATGAAAACGTATTACTACATTTTTCATGGTAAGTAACTTTTTTTTTTCAAAAATAAAATATTTTATTTTCAAAAATAAAATATTTTATTTTGTTATGTTTGAACTTTCCTGAATTATAGCCATAGATAAGTTCATTATTTTGAACTTTGGCTCTTAGAACATATCCTCAGTGTTTTTCTGAGACATCTGATTCTAAAATAAGCAAATCTCATTTTTTAGGAAAACATACATTAGGTATATAAATAAGATTTGATTTTACCTATTTGATCATTTTAGTATCTTGTTTAGACCAAGAAAAATGATTATCTTTTTTAAGTTTTTCTTGTAAAAATTTCTCTTTTTTAGAAAGATTTTATTTTATAAATTGTCTTCCATAGTTTAGAAAACCTCAAAATTGTTGAAAATGTTTTTTATTTTTCAGGTTTTCTCGAAAATATTTTATTTTTGAAATAATATGATATTGTAAAGAAAGACCATTGGAGGAAAAATTTAAACCTAAAAATTCAATTTTTGTTTTTTCTAACTCAATCTTTTTTAGAATGAGAATGATTCCATGTTTTATGAATTCTTGTGAAATCAAATTGAAATGAGTTCTATGTTGAATTAGTGTTTTTGAAAAAACAAGAATATCATTAATATAAACACAATAATATTTTTTGTGTTTAAAAAATAGTGTCCATCCATCATTGAAAATTTTGAGGTGCATTATAGAAACCAAATGGCATTATTATTCATTGATATTGTCCTTGTAGAGCATTAAAAGCAGTTAATGATTTTGACTCTTTAGAAAGCATAATTTGTCAAAAACCTGATTTAGAATCAAATTTGCTAAAATATTTAGTTTTTTTTGCTAAATTTATTAAAACATCTTTTCGTGGAATAAAATATCCATCGAAAACAAGATTTTGCTTAAGCATTTTATAGTTGATTACCATTCTGGCTTTATTACGTTTTTGCTCAACATGATTTCTTACCATGAAAGCAGTACTAGAATATGGACTGTTTGTTGGTTTAATTAATTCTTTTTGTAAAAAATCTTTGATTTAAATTTCAAATTCATCTATATCCTATTTGGTATATATTATAGGTCTTACTTGAATAATTTTATTGGGATCTATAATTTGTAGATCACAATATCAAGGACTTCTAGATCATAATTTTAGTTATTCTTCACTAAAATTTTTTAAAAAGATTTTAAATAATTAGTATTTTTCACTAATAACTTTGATTTTAGTTTTATTAGCTTCGGGTTAAAAATCTTTATCCCAAATATGTTTGTGATTTTTAATGAGAAGAATATCTATAGATTGTTTATCTATAGTCGTGGTGACTTTGTCAAAATTAAAACTTAAAGGAAAATAACCCAATATATTGGATTATTTCGTTAGGATATTTGAAGTACCCATCAGTTTTGGCATAATTTTTTCATACATAATACTATCTGCATAATTTGTGTGTTATATGATATGTTAGTAGAATATTTGACTCCACGGTTCGATTACAATGGATAAAGTTTAAATCATTGGATGACCATCAATAAGCCTTAAACCTTCACAGCTAGGGATGGCAATGGGTCGGGTCGGGACGGGTTTTTGCTCGCCCCGAACTCGACCCGATAATTTTTTATTATTTTTATATCCGATTCTGACCCGACCCGACCCGACGTTTATATAAAATCATATCGATCCGATCCGACCCAAAATTAATAAAATATTATTTTTAATATAAATATAAAATTAACTATATATAAAAATATATATAAATAATTATAAAATTAAATAAATAATAAAAAAATTATTTATATATATATCGGATCAAATTTGTCTAAAACCCTACTCCGACCTCGATTTTTTTTTCATGCCACCTGACCTGATATCCGATTTTCAAAAAAAATATCGATCCTAAAATGTTGGATCGGATCGAATCGAAACCCGTCGGTTTTGGATTTTTTTGCCTTCTCTATTCATAACTGTAAACATTAAAAGAAAAAAAAAAAAAAGAAAAGAAAAGAAAAACGACTGTGTTTAACATACGCTAAGTCACTAGTCAGGCACTTTATTAGTTTGCTCGCTCTGTGCGGAGACGGTTCTTAACTCGGAAAGCAAAAGCCCTAAACCCATCCACCCTGGTCAGAACTTAAAATTTTCTTTTAAAAAAATGCTGTATTTATTTCCAGACAGTGCTTGAACGAGTTAAAAATTGTGTTGATTTTCTTCAGTAGATGTTCAGTTCCTAATTTATATCTTTGAAATTTCTTCCAATGGCTATTGAAGGAATAAAAAAATCTCAAGCTTCAGCGTCTCAACCCCCGCGCAAAATCAACGTGCAAAAATTCGCAGAATCCAGGGCCACCGAGCTTGAGACGCTTCACTCAACTATATCAACTCGACTCAACAACGATTTCCGGTCTCGTAGAAACAAGAGAAGGAGGACCACCGCATTCGACAATCAAGTCGCCAAGAAGAGATACAGAAAGAGGTTGAGATTAATCAAGGTTGATAAAAGTAATGTTTCGGGCTTAGAGACGGAGCAGAAGAAGAACAAATCTCCCCTTCCACGTCGCGTTCGTCGGAGATTGGAGCTTAAAAAGAATCCAGGAAGCGGTTTTGTTACTTCAGGGGATGGTACCAAGAGGTTGAGAACGCATGTTTGGCACGCGAAGCGGTTTACAATGACGAAACGATGGGGATTTTACCTTCCTTTAGGATTGCAGGGCAGGTAAATAAGTTATTGTTTAAGCCTTTTTAGAAGTGCAGAAAAAGCCCAAATTTTTACAATCTCCTCTTTGAAATTCCCGTGTTTATATGATATAGAGGAAGGGGATCGAGGGCAGTGTTGAGGTGGTTCAAACAGGGAGTGCTTGTTCATGATGCGAGCTATAATGTTGCTGTTCAACTGGAAGGACCAGAGGCAGGCACTTTCTTTTTCTTTTTAAATCTAATTTACTCTTTTTGGGGTTCTTTTAGTTGATTTTAGTAATAATTGGATCAGAGTATTATTTTATTTGTTTCCAGGATTCTTTAATGGCAGTATTACAGATGGTTCTAGTGCCTTCTCCGCCAGTTCAATCTGAAGGTGTTTCTGATTCTGTTCTTTCCGGTATTACTTATGGAACTGCTATGGTAGGTCATTCTTTTGCACCTTTTCTTAATGAGTATGAAATAATAATACTAAATCATTTACTTGCTTTTCTTTTTGCTTTCAGCTTCATCATGTTGGAGCACCTTCTTCACAGCCAATTGCGCCTGTGACTTATATGTGGCGTCCTCACCAGGAGAGTAAAGAAGATGACAATGATAATTACCTTGATGTTGTTGAATGTAATGATCCATGTAGAAATGGCTATCATTCTTGCTTTCGCCAACTTTGGCTTTGGATTCATGCCTCAGGTTTTAGTGAGGGATATTATGCTCTAAACTGTGCTTGTCAAAAACAGGTAAACAAACTTTGTTAGAATGTTATTAATTATAGTACAATTTCATGAAGCTCATGAGTGTGGGCAAGCTATTTCATTCAGTCTCACATAGACATTAAACAAAAAGACTGCTCGTATACATATCACATGCTGTTATTATGTTAGATAGTAATTCTGTGTTTAATTATTTTTCAGATGATTGAGAGAGGTATCACTATTAATTGTTTTTCACGTGAGGGTCAACTTGCAAAATTGGAATTAAATGGGTCCAAGGCATTTCAGCTTCTTCAGAAGACTGTTCATCCTGTCTCTTGGTTAGTTATTTAGATATATATTATGGCAATTTTGAACTAAGATAAGAATTAAAAATGAGCTAAACAAGTTGATTGCCTTTGCAGCATTGTGGAGAATTGTTGGCAACTGCAAAAGTGTTCAATTGCAAAGGACGGTGATGACTTTCACAATAAGAACTCTTTTAAACTTGTAAATGAGGAACATGTTTCTTCTTGTGCAATTTTATCATTTTCCATCAAGGATCCTCGTGTATTGCCTTCTAAAAGGGCCACAGATTTTGCTGAGCCAGATTCTGTCCTTGATATGCAAGAAGTTGAAGTTAATGACTGTGTTAACTTAACTGGATATTTAGATAAGAATGAGGAGGTAGCCTCACCCTCACGTTCAAAACCTGAAGGAAATGGAATTTTATCGTACAACAAAAATTTGTGGGATGCTAGCTGTGGAATAGACCCCCCAGAGGAAGAACATGAACTTTGTATGGAAAAGCATCAGCAACTAATGGGATTTTTTTGCCTTGATGATCCAAAATCAGGATCCACAAAGACTTCAAACAATGTGCAGAGCTCGCGTTCTTGCCCTATTTTGCTTCTAAAAAATAATAATGAAAAGGGCTCTCCTATGGGGTAACTACTTTGTTCCTTTTTTCCCCCACACATTAGCTATTTCTAGAAAGAAATTGACTGCTTCAAAATTTGTTTGTGCACTATGCATGCATTTAAGAATCATCCCATCTAAGCAATTTTGCAAAGGAGAAGAGCGAGTGATGTGGTTTTGTTTTTACATTGCATAACAACTCTTTTTGGTGGAGAATTGTGGCTAAGGTTTCTAACTTTTTGCACGTGTTGCATTTCATGACAAATCATCCTCAGACCAAACAGCAGCACCACTAAAAAAAAGGAAAGACAGAGAGACAAAGGAGGGTTTTACCTTTGAGACGAGCACAATGGAGAAAAATGGTTCTTGTTTGTGAGCTTTGAGCTCAGCTCAAAAACTTGTGCTATATTATGTTTGAAGTTTAGTCATGCTAATTAGGACTTGGATGTTTAATGTAAAGGGTTTTGTTATTATGTCCTATTGGTTGAGACAAATGTCTGGATAAAGCTATTTCTATGCTGCTTTAGGTTTACCTTGATAGATCGGGCAGGTTTTGTTAGTTTTCTTAGCCTTGTCATCTCATTTTTGTTTGCCATCATGGAGGCAAAGTATTTTCTTTGCAAAATCTTGATTCAGAAATCTTGTCTTAGAACTCGTCAATGATCTTTCTTCCCTCATTCTTTATTGCAGATGGTCTGTTATACTACCTATAAATTGGGCTAAGGTCTTCTGGCTTTTTCTTGTCTCAAAAGGGGCTTATGCAATTGGGCTGAGAGAGAAACACTGGGTTGCATGTGAAGTGAGTGTGTGGCTTTAAGAATCCTGTCTTGGAGTAATAAATTATCCAAAATTGCTGTTAATTTTCTTTCTTTTGCAGATTGGACTGCCTTATTTTCCTTCAGATTTCCCTGACTGCAATGCATATTTATCCCTGAAGGAAATTGAAGCCGCTGCCTCTAGGCAAGATGCAGAGCAGCGTCCTCCTGCTATAAGACCTTTTAGAATTCCCATTCCACCACCTTGGAATGTTGTCCATGCTGCTTTTGACAAACTATCCCTGAGGGTGAAAGAAGCTGAAATTTCGGGTGGAGAAAACATGGTTGGGAAAAACTCAATGACTAATTCAAGTTGTGAAAGAAGTGATGTAACATCATTCAAGTGCCTTAATTCATTTGAAGGCACTGTAGCTAGGACATCCAATATGCTGACTGACTTCTTGAATGGCATTCATGGTGAACATTTGCTTTTATTTCCTCAATTTCAAAATAGCAAGTCAAGTCTCGTTAAGGTTATGAAGGATAAAAGCATGATGGGAAAAGGCCAAAATGAGATCAGTCAAATTAGCTACAGCCACAAGTTATGTTTTGTAAGGGTTCATCTTCAAGCGTACAAGGAGGGTGTTTTTGAAGATGGATCTGTTATATGTGCAGCTTGTCTCACTGATATATCATCATGGACTTCCAGGTAGTCATTTGATAAAATTCCTTCTATATTCCAAGTGGTTTTTAATTTGAAATCTGCAACCTTGCATGATCATGAATGCTTATACATACATGCTTGTCTTCTAATTATTGGGTCTATGCGAAAGGAGGTAGCTACCTGAAATGTGTTTACTTCAGCATGCTTTGAACACTTAGAATGCATGACTATTGGTGCCGAGCTTCGGGCTAAGGGTCAAAACCCTAAAATTACAAGAAAGAAAGAGAGCGGTTAGGGCAAAGGTAGGGAGTGTTCTTTGTGTTTGCGCTCTGATGCTAAAGTTAGATATCGGTACAAGGGAGGTCAAAAGGAGTGGAAAATAAGTGTAAGAATATAATGGGAATGGAATGATGGTACCTCGGTGTCTCTATTTATAGGTGTAAGATGTGCGGTCTGTGGGGCAAATAGTGATGTAGTTGAGCTGATATGACACTATACATGTTAGGTCAGTTCAAAAGTCCAAAATGCCTCTAGCTGTCTGTTGACAGTCTCTAATGAAAGAATGGCCAAAATGCCCTTTAAACCCAAAAATACCCTAACAATGACCATAGTTACATGACAAAGTGATTTTTGATTTGTCAAGGATTATCCAGGTGTATGCTTTCATCACTTTTTTAGGGTGCAAGCATCACACCCTATTTAATCTAAAAATAGTTATTTTTTATTTTCCCTTGACATATATTTGCTTAAAATATACCATTTCTTTTATCTGATAAATTAATTAGTCGATCTGGATATATTGCAGAACAGGTAGCATTGAAGGCGGACTTGAAATGCCTAATTCCGCTGTGGGGTCATATTTTAAAGAACAATCTTCTGGTAAGTGGGAACTCCTGGTACCAGAGGACCCCGCTTCTAGAGAATATCATCGATGGCCACTTGGTTTTGTCACTACTGGATTTGTTGGAGGGAGGTTAGTTTTCCTGCTTTTTCTTTATCACTAGTGCAAAACTTAGGTTGTCTTGAGTATTGCCTATGGTAATTTTCTTAAAGTCTGTCCAGTTTTGTTTGTAGTAATTTTCTTTGTATATATCATATGCAGCAAAAAGCCAATGGCAAATGCTTTGTGTGAAGCTGTGTTGCTAGCTTATCTGAGAGAGGAGCAGTGGAAGGAGATGCCAGTGAATCGAAGGAGGAAGGAGATATATGTCCTTGTTAGAAACCTTAGATCTTCGGCATATAGACTTGCTCTTGCTACCATTGTCCTGGAACAACAGGAAGAAGATGTGATATTCTTGTGAAATTCTGCCTACCTCTGGTTCACCGGTACATTACTGGGAAAATCAGTTTGGGAGAGCATATATATTAGTTATTTTCCTACAAATCAGGATTTGTGGGAGAAAATTAGAATGACCAATGCACCCAAGCTTTCTAGGTATGAAATCATTACCAATAATCATGTACTCCTAAATGATGCTATTTAAAAATATGAGCAAAGCCAAAAAGTGACTGAAGGGAAAAAAAGAACGAAATTTGTTATACCGAAATATGCACCAGGGCTGACGAATTAATAAACAAAAACACAACGAGAGCTCCTTAGAGGAATGGTAACTGTTACTGCTCTAAATTTCTCCGATATTGAAAACTGGGTTGAAATTGGAAGAATGGTATTCGTAATACGTTTTTGCTGCACACGCGAAAGGCCAGGGGATCCACTCCAAAACAGTCCTTTCTTAGTTTCTGCGAGAGATTCACGCCAACAAAAGAAGTTACATGTAATCTCTCTGTCTCTCGATTGAGTGGAAGTTAGCTGAAATGAAACTTTGATGTTTTATGATTATTTTTCCTCCAATTTCGCAAGACTTATAGGGTTTCATATTTCTTCTTTCATCTGGATGAAAAGATCAAATCACAAATCTTCCTTTTTCTTTCAACAATTAGGTTTTAGTGTTGGAGCAAACACTGAAAAATTGAAATTATTGCTTCTAATAAATTTGAAATTTTGAAAAAAGACTCTAAGATGTGTAATGGTGTTATTTTTTTTAAGGTTTTATTTGTCCTTACTATATTATTTAATTAATAGGTGTGTAAAAGATTTACAAACAATAAACCTTGAGGATACAATGTAACCCAATGATTGATTACATTATGTATTGATGAAATCAATCCATCAAGTATTCACCAACGTATCACAAGATTATCAAACTTCTATAAAAGTTTCTTAAAGCAAAATTTTCATAAAAGAAATCTAGAGTTTGAAGACAGAGGAAAAGTTTCAAGAATTATTTTCTATGTATTTTTAGAAAACCAGATGAAACTTTATAAACATATAAGTATCTTTTCCTACATATATGATTATCTATTTTGAATAGATAAAAATTGTAAGTTTTTAAACAATTAAAACGTTTATTTTGAATAGACTTAACTATCTGTCTTTATTTTTTCTTTTTTAATGTGAGATTATTTTTCATATTTTATTTTGAAAATCTCTAACAATCCCTCACCATTTTCAAAATAATCTAGATTTATGATGACCTTGAAAATCAATTGCAAAAATGAAGGTATCTTTCGATTTGAACCTTCACTTAGTGAAAATAAGCTAAAGTTAACTAAAATCGCATGGTAGACTATGTTTTGAATCAGCTATTCCATTTGATTAACTGAACTTGTCTAACATAATGATTTCAACACCCAATGAATACTTGGTATTCGATGACACATTTATGGTCATGTGTCTACATCCTCTTTTAATGAGTGCTATTAGAACCAAGCTTTTAAGCTTCTAGAAGCAGCCATACTTCACACTCATATAGGTAGCTCTCATCAAGAGTGTTCCTGTAACTATAACATTCTAACATATTTAGGTTATGAGTCTATTAATAGTATATTACTCAACCTTCCTTAACTATTATAAGTACTTAGCACTTTACCTGGGATGACATTAAACAATATTATTGTGCTAGCAATCACATACAGATGATGTACTTTGTTTCATTGAACTCAAAACTTGATGTTATACCAAGTGTTGAGTCGAGTTTCCATCATTGGGTAACTTTACTTCATGAGCTTAAGCCCCAGCCTTATTGAGGTCTTTTTTACAAACTCCCTAGCAAAACTTTTGGTTAAAAGATCTGTCAAGTTTTCATTTAACCTCACATAATTTATAGTGATCATTCTATCTAAAATTAATTGTCGAACATAGCTATGTCTTAATCCAATATGTCTAGACTTTCCATATATACTTGGCTATATGCCTTCGTTAGAGTTACTTCACTATCACATCGGATAAAAATTGGAGAAATTGGTTTAGGCTATAAAGGTACTTTATATAATAAATTTCTTAGCCATTCAACTTTTTTAGCTGTTGTGACTAATGCAACAAACTTGACAGCTATAGTGGAATCCTTTATGCTTCTTTGTTTCTTAGAACCCTAAGAAATGGCACCCCTACTAAGTGCAAAGATCCATTTACTTGTAGAAGCATGATATTTTATATTAGTAATCCAACTAGCATCAGAATATCGTTCTATAACTAAAGGATATCCATTATAACACAATCCATAATTGATTGTTTTCTTCAAATATCAAAGTACTCTTTTAACTACTTGCTAATGCAAGTTACTTAGATTACTTGTGTAGTTATTCAACTTTCCAATAGCAAATGCTATGCCTAGCCTTGTACAAGTCATTGCATACATTAGACAACCAATGACTCTTGCATATTGCAATTGATCGATTGTTCTATCAATATTATATACTAATTTAGTTGAGAATCTATGGGTGTAGTTACTGAAATATAATCGAAAAAATCAAACTTTTTAAGTACTTTTTCAATATAATGCGATTGTGACAAGGTTATGTCACTATCATTCCAGAGTATTCTAATTCAAGAATAATATCCATTACACCTATATCTTTCATTGAAAATTTATTTGATTAAAATTTATTTGTTTCCTTCACTTGTTTTGAATCGATGCCAAATATTAGCATATCATCCACTTATAAATAAATTATGACTTCTTTGCCATTTTCAAATTTGCTATATATGCACTTATCTGACTCATTAATTCTAAAACCATTAGCAAGAATGATTCCATCAAACTTTTGGTGCCATTATTTTAGTGCTTGCTTAAGTCCATACAAGGACTTTATAAGCTTACAAACCTTATGCTCTTGACCTTGAATGATAAATCCTTCTAGTTGTTCCATATATATTTCCTCTTCTAATTCACCATTTTAAAATGCCGTCTTCACATCCATTTGATGTATAACCAAAATATAAATCGACGCAAGTGAAATTAGCAGTCTAATTGTAGCAATTCTAGCTATTGGAGCATAAGTATCAAAGTAGTTTATCCTTTGCTTATGTAAAGCCTTTGGCTACCAACCTTGCTTTAAATTTATCTATGGTTTCATCCACTTTCATTTTCTTTTTGAAAATCCATTTACAGTATGTTGGATCAAAACCTAGTGGAAGGTCAACCAAAATCCAAGTGTTATTTTCCATTGTGGAGTCCATTTCATCATTTATTGCTTATTTTCAAAAAGTAAAATCTTGAGACTTTATTGTCTCTTCATATGTAACAAGATTAGACTTTGCATTAAAACAATAAGGAATTTTATTATTATGCTTTCGCCAATCCTTTTCACAAGGAACATAAAGAAATCTGGTTCAAAATCTTTTACCATTTTAACCCTTGTGCTTGTCTTTATTTCTTGACAATATTAATTACTAATTTTAGTTTGTTCTAATGGATTTGGAATTTTTTTTCCACTTGTAGGATGAATAGCTTGTAGTTGTTTTGAAATAGATTTAAATCTATTTTCATAAAAAATTACTTCTCTTGATTCAATAACAATGTTAACTGAAATTGAATCATTTGGTTCAATAGCCATGAACCTATATGCTTTACTAATTTGTGCATATCCTATAAATATGCATTCTATTCCTCTTTCACCTAACTCTTTTCTTTTGGGTTATGAAATTTTAACTGTAAAGTTTGATTTTTTTTATTGTATTCCAATATATACACCCATGGATTCTCAACTGAAATTAGTATTTAATTTTGATAGAACAATCAATCAATTGCAATATGCAAGAGTAATTGTTTGTCTGATGTATGCAATGACTTGTACAAGGCTAGACATAGCATTTGTTGTTAGAAAGTTGAGTAACTACATAAGTCATCCAAGTAACTTGCATTAGTAAGCAGTTAAAAAAGTACTTTGATATTTGAAGAAAACAATTAATTATGGATTGTGTTATAGTGGATATCCTTTAGTTATAGAAGGATATTCTTATGGTAGTTGGATTGGTAATATGGAAGATCATGCTTCTACAAGCAGATGGATATTTGTACTTGGTGGGGGTGCCATTTCTTGGGATTCCAAGAAACAAACAAGTATAAAGGATTCTATCATTGCTCATATGGGGTTATTTTTGTTTCTTTGTTAGGAATTCTATTTAGTATATGACAAGCTATTAATAAAGCTTCACTACAAAATTCTTGTCCTAGACCAGAATATGATAATATTGCATTTACCATTTTTGTTAAGACCTTATTTTCTTTTTAGCTACAACATTTTGTTATGGTTTATAACAAGTAGTAACTTGACGGATTATTCGGGTGGATTCAAAGTAACTCGGACTATAATATTCTTCCATCTTTATCTTATCTCAAGCACTTGATAAAAGATTCATATTGAAATTCAACTTCAGATTTATATATTTTAAACTTATTAAGTACTTCATTTTTGGAATATAACATATAAACATAACAATATCTGGTACAATCTTCTATAAATGTGACAAAATATTTCTTTTTAGATAATGTAGGAGTGCTATGCATATTACAAACATCATTATGAATTAACTCAAGTAACTAAACCTTAGGAAAAGGATTTATGGTAATCTTAGTCAAACATACATGTATTACATTTATTAATGTTTTGACTAAATTCAGAAATTAACAGAACTTATTCATATCATGTAATTTGCTATAATTTAAATGACCTAATCTATAATGCCATAAATATGAAGATTCAACCATGTAAGCAGAATCAACATTTTTATTTTTATTAATAATACTGAGTTTGAACATTCCCTCATACATATACCTCTTCCTAACAAAAATTTCTCCATTAGACAGAATGGATTTATCTACCTCACAAGTTTAAATCCAAACTTGTTCATTAGACTTCTAGACACTAAGTTCTTTATAACTTCTGGTACATAATAAACATAATTCAAACTTATAATTTTTCTAGAAGTGAATTCAAGGTCAACAGTCCATTTGCCTTTGATTGTTGTTGTAGAATAATTTCCCATGTAGAGGACATTGTTATATTCACTTGGTTTGAATGTTGTGAATATGCTTTTCTCCTTGCACACATGTTTTGTTGCC